TACCAGACGAAGTGGCGCGTAAAGTAGTAGAAGAGCGGGGCGTAATCCGGATTGGCCTGGTAAACTGTTCTATCAGGGAAGTTATAAAACTGCAGAAATGTTACAAGTATTGGAATACGGGGAACACTGCCAGTAAATGCCCGAGTCAGATCGACAGATCTGACCTCTGCCTCAAATGTGGCCAGGCAGGACATAAAATCGCTGACTACCAGAAAGACCCGCACTGCTCTTTATGTGCTGAAAGGGGCAAAGACCACCATCACGTGGTAGCAAGCTACAAATGTGCTGCCTTCCACGCGAAGAATAAGAGCCAACCAGTCAGAAAAAGATGAAAGTGACATAGCACAACCTAAATCACTGTAAGGGGGCGCACGACCTGCTGACCCAAACGGTCAGAGAGATGAAAACAGATCTGGTCAACATTGCTGACCCGTATAGGAGACCTAGCACGCAGGCATGGGTGACAGATGCCACAGGCAAGGCTGCCATCTGGTCTTGTAGAAACCAGACATTTGAAGATCGGGTAGACAATACACAAAGGGGATTCGTGAGGGCTAAGCTCGGGAACGTGAACTTCTACAGCGTCTATGCCCCTCCCAGTCTCAATATCGGTGAATTTACGAATTTGCTTGACAGACTGGTCGAAGACGCAAAGGAGCACTCCCCCAATGTCATAGCAGGTGACTTCAACGCTTGGGTAGTTGAATGGGGTAGCAAGAAAACGGATGTACGAGGTAACGAACTATTGTTGGCAATGTCCTGCTTGGACATGGTCCTCCTGAACACCGGAACTCTCCCGACGTTTCAGACGGTAAATGGGAGTTCGATCGTAGACCTCACCTGGGTTAGCTCCAAACTAGCTAGAGGAGGAAACGAATGGAAGTTCCATGACATTATGAACATGTGTGACCATCGCCTCATCAGCTGGACCGTTATAGCTAGTGAAGCTAAAAAGAGACATTCAAGCAGAAGGACGAGCAATAGACAACCAAAAGGACGTACCTCAGAGGATGGAACGCCAACAAGTTTGACGCCGAGCTATTCGAAGTAGCACTAGATATTAGACATGTCGCAGCCAATAGTGCACATGAAGAGGCAGAAGAAGTAATTCGTAGAGTTGTCTCTGCATGCAACGCTACGATGTCACAAAAGCGACCTAACAACGATCACCCGCCCATGTACTAGTGGAACGCCAAAATTGACAAAAGAAGACAGGACAGCATTTGAGCAAGAAGAAAAGCCACGCGAGCCAGGAAGGAGCTAAACTACAGAGATCTCAAAGACTCTTACAACGTAGCGCGGAACCAACTGGCTAAGGCAATTAAAAGTAGCAAGGCACACTCCTGGATAGAACTCCACGAAGAAATAGAAAGCGATCTGTGGGGAAGACCCTACAAGGTGGTGATGAAAAGGGTTAAGTCACAACCACTGTCCTCACCCACGTGCCCGGTCCTACTGGAGAAGATTGTGACAAATCTTTTTCCAGAGCAATCGTCGCAACAGCTTGATGCCCCTATGTTAGAAGAGCCGGTACCACCGATAACTTTAGAGGAACTAAAAGCTGCGAGTGCCAGACTAGGGAACAAGAGAGCCCCCGGACCGACGGTAAACCGAACATCGCACTAAAAAAGGCAATAAAGATAGCGCCGGAAATGTTCCTCCACATGTACAACAGGTGCATCCAAGAGACCTACTTTCCTGCTCAATGGAAGCTGCAGAGGCTGGTCCTCCTTTTAAAAGGGAAAAAGCCACCGGACGAACCATCATCTTACCGTCCTCTCTGCATGCTCGATTCGATGGGTAAGATCCTAGAAAGGATCATATACACGAGAATCGAAGTGATAGCTGAAAGACACCTCTCCGACAGGTAGTTTGGATTTCGGAAAGGAAGGTCAATCGTTGATGCTATCAATCTAGTAGTTAAAATCGTCAGGGATGCGATTTCAGAAGACCGATGGGAAAAAGGTGACAAAAACTACTGTGCTGTAGTGACGCTCGACATGAAGAATGCCTTCAACTCTGCAAAGTGGGACAAGATCATGAAAGCCCTTGAGCTCATGAATGTCCCAAAGTACTTGCGGAAACTGATAGCTAGCTAGTACTGATAGAATCCTACAGTATGATACAAACGACGGACCGAAGGTATACAAGGTCGGTGGAGGAGTGCCGCAAGGCTCAGTACTTGGACCACTCCTGTGGATCGTCATGTACAACGGCCTCCTCAACCTAAAAACACCAAGGATGGTAATAGCCGTTGCATTTGCAGACGACATTGCTCTCGTGATCGTAGGCAAGTACATTCAGGATCGTCTCCAGGGACGCTGCGCACGTGATATCCGGTCCGCTACCAATCGAAATCTTGGCCGAAGAACAAAAAAGGATTTACCACCACCGGAACAGTAGAGAAGCAGACAAAGATGACTGCAGAAAGAGAGAAAGGCAGAAGAGCCTCCAATGCTGGCAGACACAGTGAGACAGCTCGGAAAAGGGCAGATGGACCCATGAACTCATCCCAAAAATAGCGGAATGGGTGAATCGCAAACATGGGGATCTCAACTACTACCTGGCACATATGCTTACTGGACACGGATGTTTCCGGCAATTCTTGTACAAGTACAAGCATGAGGACTCACCAGAATGTCCAAGATGCTACGGAATAAAGGAGGACACGCGGCATGTATTCTTCACGTGCCCAAAATTTGACCACCAACGACGACAGCTTGAAAGCACAATCGACGCGGCGATCATGCCAGGCAACCTGGTGCAAAAGATGCTTGCATCCCAGGAGACATGGAACGCCACAACAGATTTTGCTAGAAAAGTGATCACAGAGCTTCGGAATGAAGAGAAAAAGAGGAGAGAGGAAAGAAGTAGGAGTGCGGGGCGCCAGACTGTAGAACAGTTAGCTCCCCTCGCTGATGCAGAGGAACGTAGGTGACTGGATTGAGCTCAGTCTCCTCCAACCGATGCAGAGGAACGTAGGCTCTGGAGTAGAGACTATCTATAGGATAACAAGGCACCTGCCTCCTTAAATGCTCCCTTGCCATAGCAGGTCAGCGAAGGCCATTGGGTTGAGCTCAGACTCCCTCACCCGATGCAGAGGAACGTAGGTGTCGAGGTCGAGTCTGTCCAGAGGATGACCGGACGATGCTGTATGAAGAAGACGACCGGACGATGCAGAAAGAAGAAGACGATTCAATGATGCAGTAAGAAGAAGACGACAACCTTAGCCCGATCCTTCAACCACCTCGCGGTGATTGGGGGACGTAGGGAAGGCAAGATAGAAGGAAAAGCGAAATGCTAGTGCCTCCCCGTGAAGTAATACCTAGCGGCATTTCCGCGGGGGATAAGAGGACTACAGAAGATAAAGAGGCTGGAGTTTGGTGGGTAGGGCTTTTACTTCGGAAGAAGTAGAATCTGGTCGTACCATCTGATCAGGCAAGTGATGCAAATAACTTGGCGAGCCCCACACACGAGGAGCCCCGCAAGGCTCCTGTCATGGTGCGTAAAAAGCATTCTCCACCTTTTCGGATAAAATACACACACACACACACACACACACACACACACACACACACACACACACACACACACACACACATACACACAAACACACATATTTGATCTCACAAGGCACATGCTCTCTCTTTTTGTCTCTCTCTCTCTCTCTCTCTCTCTCTCTCTCTCTCTCTCTCTCTCTCTCTCTCTCTACCTCGCTGTCATCTGTACTTTTACTACGCTTATTCTTCTATAAATATCTTTACTTTCACTTGCTCATTATTGTTTACCTTGCTTCTGGTAACCTCAACTTACGCGACCACACCACCTATCGTTAATATTAATTACACCTCTCGACTTTGGCATTGAGCTGCACGACACTCTAGCTGGCCATAGGAGCTTGACCGCCGCGGAGAAGCTGAGCTGTCGTACCAGACGAGCTTGCCTGCACCAAGCTGTCCGTCTTCGCGTATTTTCTCTAAAATTAACCCTCAACTTTTTATGCTAACGAGCCGAAATGTCGAGTCAAAATCCCGTTATAATACAACATAAAGAAATGTTCCCTTACTACAGAATAACATTCGTTGGTGGACTTACGTGTCCAGCAAAACTCAACTATATAGAAGGGATCATTTATGCGAGAGACAAAAAGGCAACAATAAATTATCGTACTACAACCAGACTTATGCTGACAAGATTTTGGTAAAGATTTAACAACAAAGTACACTATATTAATGGCTTGCTTGACATATTAGTGAAAACTAATAATGTACAACCGGACCACGAAAAATTAACAATTATTTTATATTTTTAATTTATATTTAATTATTAGATTAGTAGTTTAAATTTTAGTTTGTATCCCAGACCAGCGAGAAGGAAATCAACTTTCTCTGCTAGGTTGCAATATTATATTGTAATGTACTTTTATATTATTACTAATTTCGTAATATATATTTTTCTCTAGTTAAGAAATAAATAAATAATAAATAAATAACTACGAAAGGGTGAGAGAGAACACTAGATCCCTAAGGACTAGTGACAAAATAGTCCTTCGCTACGCACCCACAATCATGTGGTCGCTTGAAGAAATGGCCGAGAACATCAATTGCTATACTATTAAGGTAGTATTTTCGCCAGGAAGTACGATCTTACAGCTCACAATAAGAGCTATCGTATGTCTTATCGATATATTAGCTATCTTGACTCAAATAAAGCACTATTTCATTTTGCTAGACAAATAAAAGGCAAACAGACCTTCATTAACTTAATGTATTCACTAAAACTACGACCTCAGCATAAGGATATATTAACTATAGATGACATAATGTTCATTTCATAATTGCGGGATTAATACTAGCAAAATTTTAGTAACCGTAAATAATAAGTCTATTCAACTCCGTACACAGGTGTATCTAAACTTCTCCGAAAAACAATGTTGTATAATATTAATCTGTATTGTGTTTTGAAGTTAATGTCAAAAACAAATAAATAAATTTACTTACTCTAATTTTAACTTCTTTTGGTGCCATCCTGCGTATTTCTGACAATAATCTGTCACCAAATCCCTGTAATAGAACAAACATTAAATTTTATTTATTCGACTTTAATATTTAAATTACCAATTGTATATTTTACATCATGGTTATTAAGAACCTTTCGCGAACATATTTCAATAATATATATATATATATATATATATATATATATATATATATTAGTAATTTATATGGCAGCAATGTATCGAGTACCATTACACCAGAGGAGAAAATGTTTTCATCGCAGGATAGCATAACAGCCGAGACAGCGAGCGTAGCGAGTATTATGTGAAATTGATTCAGGAGAAAACTATTAATCTACAATATTATTACCAGTAGTATTGTTAAAAACGCGAATGAACAGCGCGCGCTGTAACTCGTACATACTGGACATCTGTGCAATACGTGCGAGGGATCGGCCTACTAAGTGTGGGCCCAATTCAATTAACACAGTGAATGAGTCTGTCGAATAGGCTTTGAGCACCGATCAAAAGAAACCCATAACGCAGCCCCCATACCTGCGCCGCTTGTGCCCATTCAGCGCCGATCGATGTTATTGTGATCAGTTGAGGGCCTAGTTCAATGAACATGTGCTACCGTTTTCGGCTACCCTCTTGGTATACTTTCTTCCCCCACCCTATAACGAGCACGAGCGTAAAAGCATTGTCGTAGCCGTGATAGCCACATATCGGTTTCGAGAAATGATTCTTGAAGACCGCCAGACCTCTCAGGATCGTAGTTCCTTAGAACTGTAGACCGCTTTATACGAGAGGGGCAGGCCGAAAGGTCGACCTTTCGTCTGGCAGGTTGTGGGACTGGAAAATGGCCAGAAGATGAAGAGATGAATAGGACAAAGGTTGCGAAAGCGGTTGGTGAGCGCGCGGTGCGCAGTGGGAGTAGCCCTTAACCGACTTTCTGACGTAGCGAAGGATGGAAGAGGGGGATGATGCGCGGGCTCTGGCGTCATTGCTGTTCGTCGAGTTTTCAGTGGTACGAGTTTCTTTCGTCCAAATAGGCAAGTGGTCGAGCACAATCTTATTTTTTTGTAATCACGTGCGAAAGCACAATCTTGTTCTTTTGTAAGTGCGCGCGAATTCATGATGCGAGGGACAAACTTCGAGATAACTGAAAAATTGTTTGCTTGTTCATTAATAAAATTTACCTCTACAGTTATTAAAGTGTCAGTCATTGTTCTGCTCACCTCTGTCCCTATTGAGCATTGATATTGCTCGTTCGGTTATTTTTATCGAGTGTAACGTTATTATCAGTAATTGTAAATTTATATATTGATTGGTGTATGCGGTATAACAACTTTTTCTAGAAAAATAAGATAATTACAGTCACTGTTTGGAAGCTTATTACTCGATGAAATGTCATCATTAGCGATTACCCAATGATTTGATTAACAAAGAATGCTAATGTAATGACCAAATTCAATAGTATTACTATAACTTATCATTAGACTTTTTACTTTATATGTTTTTTCAGAGATGTAAATTATTTCGTTTCTGAACAGGGTAAGTTGAAAGTCAGTTATTTTCCGACGTCTTTCGTTCAAGTCAAGTTTGTATACCAGCAATTGAAGAACTAAAATGTCATTTTTAAATACAATTAAATTTTTCATACGCAATGCGTGACCACATGTTTTAATTTTAACAATGTTGTAATATTAGACAAACATATAAGTAAGAATAAATTAATTTACTAAATAATATTTATTAATACCTACACCAATACTATTAACAGACAAGAGGTACTTAATATCTCAGTAAACAAAACATTAATATTTTTAAGCTTCTTAAATAGATTTATTCTTATTAGTTATCTAATGTTATCTATTTTATTGATGATGTTATTTTATTAATAAGCTTTGTACGTTACGATAGCGATGATCGAGAGTTAAGAGCAAGTGCGGGTACTGTTAGGAATCTAGGCGTCTAGTTCAACAGTTATGTATTGATAATTTTATTAAGAAATGATAAAGCTCCGAAGAGATGTCTTTATAAAGCGAGATCATGTACAAGACTGACTACGCTTGTCCCTCTCGGGGGCTCACAAATTTGTCGTCGATGCTAAAAGACAAATACTTACCATGTCTTTCAGGAACAAGTATGTACTGTGAACCGACGGATGCAAGTAGCTTAATTATTTATTTAGGGTGGCGATTATCTCTAAGAATCTATTTTCGGCCTAGCGTATATACTCGTATACAGTGTACATGTGGTTTGTTTGCTTCGGAATATCTTATACTTTTCTATTAGTACTGCGCACGGACGGCGTGTCCGACGAGTACACATGTATGACATATGACCTTATAGCTGTATAGTTAAAGAAGAACGCGCGCAGGCTCATTTTAAAGAATAAAGTAATACCTTTCATATCCCATTGGTATTTTTATTAAATTAAAAATTGTGTTTTTTAAGTTAAAAAACCAATTACTTCTTTTTAAATTTTTTTTTACATTAAATCGGTTATAGCTTTTAAACGGCTGAGCAGATTTTTAAAATCAAAAGTGTAAAAGTTATATATTTCTGTTATCTTTAAAATGAGTGTAACAGGATCCATTTTTATTGAGCCGATAAAAAGTTACAACGTTTTTTTTGTAAAACAATTCCCTTTTTTTTATCCATGCTTATCTCGGAAACTATGCACTGTAGAAAAAAAAGGTTGTTTTATAATGTAGAATTATATTAAGAATAATTATTCACTATCAAAATTGCATGTTGTAAAAAAAAATTTTTCCGTTCTTTCAACGTGGATAAAATATTACTATCGAATGACTAGAAATAAATAATATTATTTAAGTTCTATCAATTATATTTTATCAATATTATTACTATTATTACTTTTTCCCATTCTTCCCCTTCCTTTCTGCTTTTTTCACATTTTTCTACTATGTGTTTCCAATTTTCTTCCTCTTTCATACACATTCTGCATCTCTTATTTTCTTCCTTTTCCCAATACTACTTACCTACTTCCTCTCGTTTCATTACCTAACATAAACCTTTCCCTTCTTTGTAGGCCTTTTATTCTTCCCTCTCCTTGAATTTCCTTTAACCTACACCTTTTCATTTCTTCTTTCAGTTCTTTCCACTCGTTTATGTATCTTGATTTTTCAAGTTTTTCTTCTAGTTCTTTCTCTTCTTTTTTCTTTAGCTCATCTCTTATTTCTTCCCAAAACTCTTCCCTCATTTCATCTCCCTCTTCCCTCTCTCTATATATTTTACTTTTTTCTAGCCTTTCCTCTCTCTCCTCCTTCTTACCCTTTTTATTTTTTTCATTTATTTCCCTTTTCTTTAGTTCTCTCCATGCTTCTTTTTTTATTGAGCCATCTCTTTCTTATCTTATTTTGTTTTCATACCTCATTGCTCTTTCTAATGCTGTTTCTTTCATTTCTTGTCTTCCTGTTTCCCATCGTATTAAGTAACTTGGCGTGTTTCTATCTAATCCTAATACCCACTTTATGTATTTTAGTTGTAGTCTCTATATTTCTTCATATCTCTTCCATCCCCAGATTTCTGCTCCATACATAATCACGCTTTTCGCCAGTGCATCGAACAGGTTCATCCTTAGCTCCTAATTTTCTCTAAATAGCTTTTCTCCTAGCCTCCATAGTCTTCCCAGTCCCATATTTATTTTCCCTTCTACCTTCTTTATCTGCTTTTTATTTCCGTTATTTCTGCTTATCACATATCCCAAGTAGTTGTACTCTTTAACCATCTCTATCTTCTCACCTTCCAATTCGAATTCTTCTTCCTTCCCCCTTCCTCCTCCTCTCCTGCATTTCATCATCTTTGATTTTCCTACATTTAACTCTAATCCCCTTTCTTCCAGGTATCTTTTTAATTTTTTCCTATTATGTCGTTTTTTCTGTTTCTGTTCGTTATTCTGTCGTTTTTATGTATATTTTTTCCTATTTTGCCCTATTATGTCGAATTCCCTAACATATTCCCAGTCGTTTTCCTCCATGCTCCTCACCCCCGCCACGTTCCAGAATAGTATTTTTACTGACTTTCTCCCCTCTCCCTCCTTTCTCTCCTCTCTCTCTCTTTTATCCCTATTGTTTTCGAAACCCTTCCACCCCCTTTCCTACCATTTTTCCCTCTATCTCGCTCCACCACCATTCTTCTTCCTCTGACTTCACCCCGTTATGCGACATCTTTACCTCTTTACATTTCCTTTTTATTTCTCTCGCTTTCCTTCTTACTTCCTCTCTTATCTTCCTCTGCTTTCACGTCCAGTCCTGATCTATGTATACCTTTTTCTGTCCCAGCTTCTTTTTCTTCTTCATAATTCCTTCTTTTTGTTCCCATGAAGCGCATCTAATTTGCCACCTATTTTTTCCTCTTTCTCTCCGATCATTCTTCCCCGCTATCCCTCCTATTCTTCTCAGATTCACTATCTCTCCTTTTATTTCTAGTTCCTCCCTTAACCAGTCCTCTGCCTCTCCCTTCTTTTCCCATCTTAACTCACCCTCTAAGTCTGTCACTATTATATTGTTTATTCTACTTTCTCTATCCATTTTTTCTCTCATATACTCTAATTCTTCCTTATTGCCTACTTCTGTTCCTCTTTGCTTCTTGTTTCCTCCTTCTATACTTTCTTTTAGTTTCACGCACTCCTCTTCTAACTGGTTCATCCTCTCTCCCCATTTTTTCTGCAGTTTCTTTTCTCTACGTTCTGCTTTTTCCCTTTCTTCTTTCGTCTCTTTCTTTTTTTCTTCTCTTTCTCTCTTGTTCTCTCCTAACTTTTCCTATTTCTTTCTCCCATTTTTCTTCTCTTTTTTCCCCTCTGCCTCCATTCTTTCCATTTTTCCCATTATTTCTTTAATCATTTCTGTCCATTCTTTCCTTTCATCCTCCCATGCCTCTCTTAAATCCCTTATATCTGCCCGCATCTTTTCCATTATATCTTCTGGACCACTACTTTTTCCCACTTCTCTTATCGTGTTGCCCAATCCTTCTCCCCCCTCCACTTCCATCTCGCTCCCCTCGCTTTCACTCTTGCATCTCTTTGCCTCTCTCATTTCT